TAAAGGATCAAAGTCTGACATGATAGAGACAGAACATAGCTTTTGGGGAGGAATGTGACTGTTTCATGTTTATTTCATGGGTTGTCTACAATAGCAAGTAGACAACCTAGTAGTAGTTGGCTCAATAATCTAATCTAATCTAATCTAATCTAATCTAATCTAATCTAATCTAATCTAATCCAATATAATCTTTTGTCACTGTTCTGGGCTTGTTTTGAGTTGGAGCCCACCAATCAAGTCAGTGTGTCACTAAAGGACACAAAATGATTCACAAAAATGTGAATCATTTCAAATTTCATCATTTTTCAGTATTAGAACAGGAAAAGAAGATACTTTATTCTCTGACTCCGGTATTTATAGGTTCTCAACAATGACCAGGGATTGGATAATTACGTTACCACCTTCCCAAGCACACTGGTCATGAGAAACGTCCATCAAAAGACGTTTCTTAGAAGGAAAGTGATAAACAATTTATGTTTATAGAACTTTAATGGGAAAGTAACTAAAACTATGAAAACTTTATCAGAAGACTTTAGGTTTCAGGGTGATGTCAGTCCTCTCTCTCTTTACCTTCTTCCCCTGCTCCCATTCTCAGGAGTCTCCTATGCAGGGATCTGTATCCTCCTACAGCCAGTGACATCTGCAAGAGGGGAAGACGTCCCCTTGCAGTGTCCCCTTTTGCCAGTGATTACACCAGACCCTATGATGAATGTGCAAAATATTTTGTTTTCTTTCAGCATTTTTCTAAGAAAAGAAGTTGAACCCCTTAGGCTAGGTTTTTCAGTGAGATCTTCCTTTATTTTCTGTATAGGGAAGCCCTTTTAACAGTTATGATTCTTTGTGTGTCTCCCACATTGCTTCTGTGATGATCTAATTGTCTAATGTTATACACTGATAATTTACTAGATAAAAAAAGGAACTTTACCTGGATTAGTAACTGGAATATGAAATTAATTTGATTGACTTGGATTTAGCTATTTCACTATGCATGTAAAGTTCCTCTCCCTCACCTTAAACTCAGTATCCCATTTATTTCAGCTGTGATATTGTATCCCATTTATTTTAGCAGCAGTACTTTGCTTATAAATAAGGCATGGGACCTTAGTTCTATATACTTCTCTGAAACACTTCAGCTTGTAGCCTTTAATCTAGCTAGTTAGATAACACAGTAATTACTGACGGGAAAGATCAATGCCTCTAAAGCTCAGTGCATCCAAGGAGAACCTTCAGTCATCCTACAGAAGAATATGTTTCTGCATTGACCTCCCCAGCAGCGTCAGAGATGCTGTTTTAGCTGAGGTGGATGAGTGCTTAGAGGAGTGAATCTGAAGTTTGGTCTCTCATGTTTTCCAGTACTAAAATCCCTTTTACTTGCTGTATATTCCGTACTGCATTTCAGCTCCAGGCTTTTTCAAATTTTATTTGTAGATGTAGAAAAACCTATTTAGGGTAAAGGAGTTGTGCCCAACTCTACAGTGTCTGGTTTTATTCCTCCACTCCCCATAAGAATAAAGTCAAAGAAAGGGAAAGTCTCCATTTGTGTCTATTATGACAGTATGACAGCCCTGTCTTTAACTTAACAGGCATATATATGAGTTAATTTCAGGTAATTTTAATATGTGGATACAACTACTGGCATTGTTTCCAAATGAGTTTTCTTGCTTTTATTCTTACTGTTGATCATTAAATATGGTGGCTAAATAGTACCATATCACCCCTATGGTTTTGTTCCTGGAAATTTTCTTGAATAACAGCTGAAGTAATGTGTAGATAGTTACTGCAATTTAAAACCTCAAATTTATAAAACCAAGGACAGGGTCTGCTAACACAATAAAACACAATAGGTATCTGCAGACTCTGCTTTCTCCTCAGACTGAGAAATTGCTTCCATCTGCACAAAGGGCTCACCTGCTGCAATTCTGGTTTAGCTTTATAGGCTGTTACTACTTTTGACTTGATTATGGTTTAATTGGAGATACTCAACATAAGTTTGTTACCAAACTTGGGACGCACAAAGATTGGAACACGAATTCAAACACATAGGAAGCAAGAGAGAAATCAATGCTGCTTTCCCAAACTTGATGTTACTGCATCCTTGCTGAAACATTTGGAAATCTGCTGGCCTTGTTTAGAGCCTCTCCAGGGTTAAGGGCCACAAGATGTCAGTGTAGCACCAAACATGAAGGAGTGGCAGGCGGGTTTGTGCAGCCCCTCAAATTGTCCAGCTGGTAAAAGCCTGTTGACTCTAGCTGCAAGGAGAGGCACGGTGGTCAGGAAATGGCCCATGCGATGAGGAGCCGCCTCTGGGCCTGGAGCACGGGGAAGCGGCCGGGGGAGCGGCCGGGGAAGGCAA